CCAGGCTGGCTGCAACCGGGGGGGGGGGGGGGGGGAGCACAGGCACCAGGAGAGTCTAGCTGAGTCGGATGGAAAGGTATCCTGGAAGTGGGGAGCCAAGGAACACCACAAAGTCACTGTCTGCATAACAGCTCACAGCCCTGCTGCAGGGAAAGGTTTCCCCATTGCAAGTGTAACAACTCTGCTCCAGCAGGGGAGCGTTTCTCCAGTGAAGCTGTTACAGCTCTGCTCTACTCTGCGCTGGAGAAGTGTTACAGCTCTGCTCTGCTAGGGGAAAGTTTCCCCAGAGAAAGTGTTGCAGTTCTGCTCCTCCGGAGCTCTAGTGAAAGTTGTTACAGATGGGCTCTACTCTGGCGAAAATGTCACACTGCACAACAAACCTCACTCAAGAGGTTTATTGGGAAGGAAAACTCCAGGAGGGTGGCTGCCTCTCGGGTGAGAAGGAGCAGCAAACTGAGCAGGGAGCCCAGCAGCCGCTGGAGAGGGCAGGAAGGGGTTATGATCCTTGCAGGCCTTGTCAGTGGCAGAATACAGCGGCTGGTTCTGCATGTTCAAGACCTTGGTGGGGATGAGAGGGGAGCTGGGGATAGGGAAGAAGCAGCTTGGCCTCTTCCATGGACGTGAGCTTTTTAGCCATCTTGTTCATGATGCTGTAGGGATGGGGGTCTGATGAGTCAGTAGAGGCACTAGCCTCACAGATTCATCCCCAGGTGTGCTCGGCCTGTCTGCTTCTCCCTGAAGGCCCCTTTACGTGTCTGTGGACATGAAGGCTGGACTCACAGAAAGTGGACATCATTGTGCTGAAAGCAGCCCCTGTTCTCTGGGAAAGGGAAAAGAGAAAGTCGACATGATAAGGGTAAGAGACCCCTTAGGCCACAGCAACCATGTGAGCCTCTGCATCCTATGGGGGTTGGAGCTTCTCCGTTCTGTCCTTGGGTCAGGGTGCCTAACTTCCAGCTCAGGAGGGGTCGTCACCCTGGTGTTCCTGCTGCCTCAGCTTCTAGATGATTTGGAAGAACTCTTCCATATATGGGAGGTAGGGCTTCTTGCTCTGGACTTAAAACTTGAAGCCAGGGAAGGGTGGTATCCAGCACCCTTTCTGAGGTGCTCATGCTTCCTCAAACCTCAAGGGGGCTCCTAAGCAATGCCCCTCTGCCCCAAGGCTCTTCACCGTACAGTGGGCTCTCTCAGCTGTGTTCGATTGTCATAGTAACTTAGCCCTCACAATAGACCTGCTAAGCTGATGAGATTCAGTCTATGGATGGGGAAACTGAGGCACAAGTGGCCAAGTTGTGTACACAAAGTCACACAGCTGGAACACAAGCAGGGCCTGAGTGTAATCCAAGGTGGTTGGGTTCCTAAGTCTCAGTGTGAACCAGGTTCACAGTCCTTGAGTAAGGAAACTGGAGATGCTCCAGATAAAGCCACTGGTCCCCAAAATATCACTAAATAGATTTTTTTAGTTTGTAGCCCAGGCAGGCCTGGAACTTAGGCCATGTCCTCTGCATCAGTCACCACAGTGCTGGGATTATAGGCAGAGGCTATTACCCTGGTCACACAGGTTTGTGATGTGAACCCAAAGTTCAGGGAATAGACCTTGTAAGGGGTGAGCTGGCCTCCCAGGACCTATTTGGCAGAAGCGAGGAGGTCAGCATTCTGAATTCCTCTCAAATCCCAACATGGCAGTCTGACTTGGCTCATAGCCAGGTTACTTCTTTCTCCAACTGCAAGGAAACTGCAGTCAGACCCAATATTCCTGTCCTCCTCCTTCATCCCTGCCCACCTCTGTGCTCTGGGATGGCCCTTGCTGGCTTCTATACTGTCTCCCATGCTCTTCTCTCATCCCTTCTGCTGCTCATAGTATGGGAAGGGGCAGGAAATGGCTTACCAGAAATGGAGGTACTCCACACCCCTCCCTTGGAGGGTGTGACTTTTGCCTGGGTGCATCTTGGAGATCTCAGAGGATGCTATCATCTCTGTAAGGATCAATGAAAACAAGAGTGTGTGGGGGAAAGTCCTGTTGTGGAATATTACTTTAAAATAATATATAAAGATGTGTTACATTTGTTTATGCTGCATTTGTTTAATGATGTAAAGATGTGTTGCTTTGCCTGCCTAAGGCACCCGATTGGTCTAATGAAAGGCTGAATGGCCAATAGCTAGGCAGGAGAGGGATAGGCGGAGCCAGCAGGCAGAGAGAGTAAGTAGGAGGAGGAATATAGGATCAAAAATAAGAGAGAGAATGAGAGAGAAAGAGAGCCACCAGCCAGTCAGACATGAAGTAGGGCATATAGAATGAAGGAAAGGTTAAAGAGCTCGTGGGACAAGCCTAAGATGGAGCATTCGTATCTAATAAGTATCTGTGTCATGATTTTGGGAGTTGGTTGGTGGCTTTTCCTAAGAGAAAGCTTTTATAGGGTCCCTTGTTAGTATTTTCAGAGCAAAAGCAAAAGTTCCAAAGCCCATGGTGATAGAGTTGTTCATAGTCCATATTCCTTACAATTGGGCTTTTCTAGGCCCTCTGAGGGAGGGAGAAGCTCTTGCATTTTGAGGAATCAATGATGGGGGCTGTGAGGAAAGGGGTCCATTGAATTGACAAACTCCATGGGTAGAGCCTGGTAGTTTGGGGGGTCTGTTAGCCTGGGCCCTGGATGCAGAACCAGGTCTGAGGTTGGAAGAAACTGGCTGCAGATGAATGTGGCCTGAGTGACTCTGCTGCGGATTCTAGCAGCCATGTCCCACATGGGAACCCATGAATGTCCTCCTTTAGTACACACTTCCCCTTGGCTGGCAACTGACAGAGGGATCCTGTTAGTTGCAAAATCTCCTGCCACTGTTACCCCGGGAGGGCAGGCACCTCCCACGTATTTTACAGGTGTGAAAATCAGTGCAGAAAGAAATGGATTCCTAGGCCCACACAGTCTAAGACAATGATTTAGTTTTCAGTCTCACACCTTCTTTCACTGTATCAAATTCATGCCAGCTGAGTGCAGGCCTAATTACCTCGTGAATCCTAGGCAAACGTTTGGTGAACCTGTGACTAACTGGAATAGCATGTATCTGGTACATTGGAACCGTTATCAGGGCTGGGGAGAGTGGAGGGCAGTTAAGGGACCAGCTGCCCCCTCTCCCATCATTCTGTAGCAGATAAATACAAGCTTGGGGAGCCAAGGATGAGCACAGTCCCTGAGGTCCCACTGGGTGTCACAGTTCATAGCTGAGCTTCCAAGGAGCAGCTCACTGAGGTATGGAGCCTTCTGGGAGGTAGCCCTACTCCTTGGGGACCTCAGCCATGCTTGTTTTTCTGCAGCAGCCCCTTCTTGGGCCTGGTTTGTCCCTGGAGGTTGTGCAGCAGCAGCAGCAGCAGCTGCTCAGGGTTCACATGGTGGCTATGTGCTCCCTCATCACATGGAATTTCATTTCGCAGGCATTTAGGACCTGGTGAGCATTGGAATTGTTCTTCTGAATGCATTTGATGACATTGTAAACCAGGGGTGAAAGGAGATCTCTTCCTTCGCAGAGGCAAAGGGTGGATACCTCAGTAGGGCTGGCATATGGGACACGGCAACCAGCCTCTGCTTGGACTCATCATCATGGTTCCCAAGCCCCAGGCCCCAGTGTAGAGCTTCGACAGGCTGACACAGTCACAGCCACCATGCTAATTCTGCAGCTCCCATGAAAGCCTTGTGTTCACCTAAGCGGCATGTGTATCCTCTGGTGTCTTTGGTGGGGCTGGACCAAGTGTCAGGACATTTTTGTTTGCCCATTGCATTACTTACTTTTCTCACTGCTGTGACAATATACTGGACAACAGCAACTTAAGGGAGGAAGTGTTTGGTGTGGTTCTCAGTTCCAGCAGACACAGCCCACCGTGGTGGAGAAGGCATGCAAACATCACTTCCATCAAGCCAAGGTTTAGACCAGGGACGACAAAGCAAGGGACTTAGTAACAAAGGGATGCTGACTCTAGCAAGTGCCATAGATGCTGGTGTGTGGCCGCCGTGCCAGGATCACCCATGAGTTGATGGCTATGGTCAGCACTCACAGACCTGACTGTACAGGCTGCTAGTCGGAAGGGCAGCGCCCCAGTCATGTTTTGCTGTGGGTGCCCGCTCCATCCCCAGAGGAAAATCACAGTCGTCTGGCATACAATTCATTAACTCAAAGGTATCCACACAGGGTGTGGGGTCAGCCAAGGAGGTTGTGTTTAGTTGTCCCCACAAAGATGGTCACAAGAGGAAGTTGGATTCAGTGTATTCAGGAACTAGCACGTCATGAAGTGCCGGAAGCCATGTCAGAGGTGACGAATTCCTGTTTCTGGAATGAGAATGTTAATCTTGTATTTGAGGTGGATGTTGAGGCAGTACAAGAGTTGACTACAGTTATTCTCACTACAATTTCTGAGGTTGAGGACGTGCCTGTCACCTCAGTATGGAGGATGACAAATTAGAGGGATGACTGGGCTATGCTGCAAAACCTTCTCTGAATAAAAACCAACAATAATATTTTTTATGTGATTGGAAAGATAATTATTATGGGGTATGGTGGTGCCTTTAATCCCAGCACTAGGAGGCCAGAGGTAGGCAGATCTCTGTGAGTTCTAGCCCAGCCTGGTCTATCCTGAGTTCCAGGATAGCCAGAGCCACATAGTGACACTCTGTCTCAAAAAAACAAAACAAAACCTGAAACAATGAAGCAAGCCAACCAACCAACCAACCAACCAAAGAGCAGTACAAAAAAGGAGAGAATAATTTTCTGAGAAGAGGAAACAGATTTGCAGAGGTTTAACTGAGGTTTGGTCCCCTGAACTCCCCTACTGACATCAGCAGGCAGGGTGGCCAGTGATAGTACCGTACCTCCCAGGAATAGCCTCACATCCTGTTGTGTAACTTCCCAGAGAGTCTGGGTACAGGGGTGTCTTATAGCCATCCCAGCAGCCCACAGAGGCAGTTGGAGCTGAACCTGGAGGATGAGGAAGGCTGGGCTCCTGGGGCTATTTTGGATGTTCCTTGTCTCAGGTAAGGCAGGCGGGAGGTGGGGGGCAGGAGAGGGTGCTGGCCCAGGACTTTAGCAGCCTGTGTGTGTGTGTGTGTGTGTGTGTGTGTGTGTGTGTGTGTGAGTGCTTAGGTTACAGGTTGACATTGGGTATCATCCTCAATTGCTTTCTATTTATTTATTTATTTATTTATTTATTTACTTATTTATTTGAGACAGGGTTTCACTATGTAACCTGGAATTTGTTGTGTAGACCAGGTGACTGGCAGGTGAAAGTTCTGGCTGAGGACGTTGAAAGTGCTGTGTGTGTGTGTGTGTGTGTGTGTGTGTAGTTACAGGTTGGCATTGGGTGTCTTCCTCCATTGCTGCTGAGGACGTTGGAAGCTCTCTCTCTCTCTCTCTCTCTCTCTCTCTCTCTGTGTGTGTGTGTGTGTGTGTGTGTTAGTTACAGGTGGACATTGGGTGTCTTCCCCCATTGCTTTTCACATTTTTCCTTTCCTGAGACAGGATTTCTCTATGTAACCTGGCTGGCCTGGAACTCGCTATGTAGACCAGGCTGGCCCTCTATCTGCCCCTGCTTCTGCCTCCTAATTACTGATGTCAAAAGTGTGCACTGGGGCTGGAGAGATGGCTCTGCCATTAAAGGCTAGACTCACAACCTAAAGTGTGCACTGCACGGCCACACCTGGCCCTGCCTTGCTCTGGAGTCTCTCATTGACGCCAAGTTGGCTTATCTGTTAGGCCAGCTGGCCAGTGTGCCCCAAGGACCCGCTTGCCTCTGCCTGCCTGGTGCCCTGCTCTAGACATGGTGCTGGAGGCCAAACTCAGGCCCTTGTGCCTGTGCACAGCAAGTGCCTTATCAGCTGAGACACCTCCCTGACCCCACAAAGCTTGTCCCTGCTGAAGTGCTAAAGCAGCAGTTCTCACATACCCCCTTTTGGGGTTCAAATGGCTCTTCCATAGGGGTCACTTACGACTATAAAAAACCAGATATTGCCAGGCTGTGGTAGTGCACATCTTTAATCCAGCACTCAGGAGGCAGAGACAGGGGATCTCTATGAATTCAAGGCCAACCTGGTCTACAGAGTGAGTTCCAGGACAGGCTCCAAAGCTTCAGAGAAACCCTGTCTCAAAAACCAAAAACCAGATATTTATGCTACGATTCATAACTGTAGCAAAATTATAGTTATGAAGTAGCAATGAAAAAAATTTTGTGGTTGGAGGTCACCACAACATGAGGAACTGTATCAAATGGTCACAGCATTAGGAAAGTTGAGAACCACTGCTCTAAAGCAAATGACTCTCTAAATGTGGGGACAAACACTGCTCATTTCAGACCAGGCAGGCTTCACCTGAGCTCAGAGAATCAGACCCCTAAGGCTGAATAACAGAAATCCAAGAAGGGTGAGTTAGAGAGGCAGGTGGTCTTTGCTTTTTCTAAAATTTATTTTATGTGTGTTTGCTGTGTGTTTTTTGTCTGTGTGTGTGTGTGTGTGTGTGTGTGTGTGTGTGTGTGTGTGTGTGTGTATCACATACATGTCTATTACCCAAGCAGACCAGAAGAGGGCATCGTATTTCCCTGGAACTGGAGTTATAGATGGTTGCAAACCCTGGTCCTCTGCAAGAGCAGCAAGTGCTCTTTTTGGGGGGGGGGTTGGTTTTTCGAGACAGGGTTTCCCTGTGGCTTTGGAGGCTGTCCTGGAACTAGCTCTTGTAGACCAGGCTGGTTTTGAACTCACAGAGATCTGCCTGCGTCTTTCTCCCGAGTGCTGGGATTAAAGGCGTGCGCCACCACTGCCCGGCGCAGCAAGTGCTCTTAACTGCTGTTTATTTTTGCAGTCCTGGAGAAGGAACCCAGGACCTCGCACATGCCAGGAAGCTGCTCTACCACTGAGCTGCAGCCCCAGCCTCGGTGTGCATTTTTATGTCAGAGATCCTTCAGTGGAAACAATGACAATAGCATACAGTCTCACTTATAACCAAGTTGGTTTTGAACTCCTCCTGCCTCAGCTTCTTATGTATTTGGTTAAAGATGGGCACTACCAGGCCAGCAGATCCAACCACTCCAAACCTGGCATGATCTGAAGAACACACACACACACACACACACACACACACACACACACACACACACACATTTTTCAGTCAGTCTCTCATGGTAGCCCTGGCTGTCCTGGAACTGTCTATGTAGAGCAGGCTGGCCTCGAGCTCACCTAGTGATTCCCTGCCTCTGCCTCCCTAATGCTGAATTAAACGTGTGAGCCACTAAGCCCAGTCATCTGAATGGTGTTATTTCATGTTGAGATGTTTTTCTTCTATTCGTCCATGGTGCTTGTGATGTGGACAGTCCATTAGACCTCAAAAAAGTAATTAATTTAACAGCTGTTTCCCAGGGTTACCTTGGGTACACAAATCTGCTACTCCAAAGGCCAAAGGTATGAACAGAAGCCTGTGTCAATCCTCATGGAGGTTGTAATCCCAGCTCTTCATCAAATGCTAAAGCTGGAGAGCCCAGCTTCTCACATGTGCTGAGCAGGATTGGACCAGCCCTCAACCCTGTGTCTTGGTTTGCAACATTTCAATGAGTCAGTACTTCCATGAAAACAGCTCAAGGGTGGAACCCATGGATGTGTCACACAGGGTGGATCAGCCATCCTGTGATGGAGTAATCAGAATTGGTTCCATACAGCCCCAAGCCTCTGCTGGCCTGTCTCTCTCTCTCTCTCTCTCTCTCTCTCTCTCTCTCTCTCTCTCTCTCTCTCTCTCTCTGTGTGTGTGTGTGTGTGTGTGTGTGTGTGTGTGTGTGTGCGCGCGCGCGCGCGTATGTGCGCTCGTGCTGCCACCCTCATGACTGTGTAGCTGAGGATTGTCTTGAACTTTTTCCTGACCTGCCTACTTCCTCCTCCAGAGTTCTGAGCTTACAGGTGTGCACCACCATGCTGAGTGTGGAAGGCATTTCTGGCCAGAGCTCAGGGGAGGCTGCTTGCAAGATTCCCTTAGAGAGCTAATTGGTCTTTGAGCCTGGCTCATTTACAAAATCCCCTATGAGTCTTTGAGGTGAGTCCTACCAAGGCTGGATGAGGGCAGAGCAGGCCTTCTGGAGTCTGACACATCCTGTGTGGGCAGGCAAGGGCTCTACTTTAAGTCTTGGCCTATCTGGGTGGTGTGTGTGTGTGTGTGGTGTATGGTGTATGTTTTATTTTAAAGTGTGTGTGTGTGTGTGTGTGTGTGTGTGTGTGTGTGTATGCGTGTGGTATGTGTGGGGTGTGTGTAGGGTGCATGTGTGTGTATAGTGTGTGTGTGGTACATGGTGATAGTGATATGTGCATGTGAGTGTATATGTGTGTTTGGTGCATGTGTGTGTGTATAGTGTGTGTGTATAGTGTGTGTGTGTGTGTGTGTGTGTGTGTGTGTGTGTGTGGTGTTGTGGGGTAGTTGTGGTACTAACAGCAGTGGAAGTTTTGGGAAGTGAAAGTCCTCACTGATCTGGTGTTCTGTCCATGCCTTTGTTGGAGAATGATATCCAGGTCTAAGTGGCCAAACTTTAGTCTCTCAGTGACTTTCAGAGCTGGTGTCCATGACCCATCTGTCTTCACATCAGCAGGGCTCCTTTCCATCGGGTGAGAGAGATCAGTCCCCAGTCCAGGTGGTTTTAGTGTTTCCACTCCAACATGGGGCTGAGATTACTGTCCCTGCCATCCTGGCATTCCCAAGCCTGGCACTGCTGACATTTGGGATGAGATAATGACTTGTGAGGACCGTCCTGTGCGCTGTAGGATGCTTGAAAGCTCCCCCAACCTCTGTCCATTAGATGCATGTGGCAGGCACAATCATTCCTGTTTATAACAACGAAATGTTTCCCAACACCTTACACCCAGTGAGGGACACCTAGCACCCAGTGAGGGGCACCTAGCACCCAGTGAGGGGCACCTAGCACCCAGTGAGGGGCACCTAGCACCCAGTGGGAGGCACCTAACACACAATGGGGGCATCTTACACCCAGTGGGGGCACCTTATAGCTAGTGGGGGGCACTTTACACTGGGAGTGAGTGGGGACACCTTATGCCCAGTGGGGGACACCTGAAACCCGGTTGGGGGACACACGACACTAAGTAGGGGGACATCTCCACCCAATGAAGAAACATGGCTGTGATTTCTGTCAAAAATAGGAGGGATTTATTGACTTAGTCACCAGGGAATCCAGGGGTGCTGGCTTGAAAGCACAGCTAAAGCCATTACTCAATGTTGTGAGTTTCCCTCTCTCTTTCCTCCCTCTCCACTTTCTCTCTGTCTCTCCTCTCTCCTTCTGTTCAGCTTGTTCTCGGGCAGCTGATTCCTACATGGTAAAACACAGCAACGGGAGTTTCGCATTCCTCTGACCACCAACCTCTGCATAAGGGCTGTACAGTGGCAGATCAGGTTTTGATTGGCTCATCCTAGTCACATGCCCATCTCTAAGCCAATCTGTGCCTTGGGGTTGTTTGGACTTGGTGGGCCTCATGGGTATATCCTCAGGAATACTGACAGCTCAATCAGTAGAGCCCTGTGGTATGGAAAGTGATGCCAGGTAGGCAGAGTCCCTATCCACGGTGCCCATGACGTTTTATTTTTATTTATTTTTCTGGATGCTTCCTTAGTGTCTCCTGAGATGACCTCTTCGTGCTGAACACCATCATTTGCTTGGAGACTGTCTTTTGTTTGTTTGTTTGTTTGTTTGTTTTTCGAGATAGGGTTTCTCTGTGGCTTTGGAGGCTGCCCTGGAACTAGCTCTTGTAGACCAGGTTGGTCTCGAACTTGCAGAGATCCACCTGCCTCTGTCTTTATATCCACTCTGTGCCCTGGAAAGTACCTTCCACAACCTTCCTCTCCCATCATGCCCCAGCCATTCACGTGTCCAGTCAGGCAATTTCATCTCTCTAAAGAACCATTTAGGGTTAGATAAATAAACAAGACAGCGTGATGCTTGCCACACAAGCATGAGGACCTGAGTTTGATCCCCAGAAGCCATATAAAAAGCCAGATGTGGCACACACTAGTAATCCCAGAACTAGAGGGGCAGAGCTAGCAGGATCCCTAGGACTTGCCAACCAGACAGCACAGCTGAATATTTCAGCTCCATGTGATAAGTGAGAGATCCTGAAAAAAAAAATAGAAACAACTAATGGGCAATATTCCGAGGCATGTATGATACCTGAGCTTGGCCTCTTGACACCATAGGCATGCACACATGCACACATGTGTAATGCATTAACATGCTCTCACAAAGTTTGATTTCCACACGCCACATATCATGGGCTCTTATAGTAAAACAAACACACACAAACCAAAACTCCTTCCCAGTAGAGAGTTTGGATGAAGACCATTCCCTTATTTAACCTGTTTCCCTTTTCCTATTTATAGAAGTCCAAGCTGCCGTTGATCCCGCTGAAGAAAGGTATGACCTGGTTGAGGGACAGACCTTGACAGTGGGCTGTCCCTTCAACATCATGAAGTACGCCAGGAGCCGGAAGGCTTGGCAGAAGCTGCAGGATGGAAAGGAGCCTTTGACACTGGTGGTCACAGAGAGGTCGCCTACAAATCCCAGTGAAGTCCGCATGGGGAAGTACACACTGAAAGATGACCCTGATGAGGCCATGTTACATGTCCAAATGACTGACCTTCGGGTGACAGACTCTGGGTTGTATCGCTGTGTCATTTACCATCCTCCCAATGACCCTGTTCTGCTCTTCCATCCCGTCCGCCTGGTGGTGACCAAGGGTGAGTGACCAGGAAGGAAGTGTCTGGGGAGAGGGAGAGAGGCAGGCCAGGCAAGGATGGGGCTGTGGCCCAGGATTCCTAGCAGCCCAGCTTCCTGCCAGAATTTCCTTGCCTACCATCCAAGGCTGTTGGCAGGCACTCAGCCCAATAGTAATTAGTATATGGATCCCCTTGAGAGAAGATGAGCAGTAGACTTGGAATATGATTTAGTTCCATTTCTGAGATCTCTACTTAGAAGTCATGTCCTTAGGAAGCCTTTCTTGTTTAACCATTTAGCTTGTTTCTTTGGAACAATGTCATGACTGACATATAAATATGGAACTATACACTTAGGACATTTGCTCTTTTTTCCTTTTAAAAAATTTAAATTTGAAGCAAGCTTGTTTTACATGTCAATCCCAGTTCCCTCTCCCTCCCCTCCTCCCCTGCCACCCACCAACCCCCTACCCTTTCTGCTCCCCAGGGAGGGCGAGGCCTTCCATGGGGGAATCTTCAAAGTCTGTCATATCATTTGGAGCAGGGCCTAGGCACTCCCCCCTGTGTCTAGGCTGGGAGAGTATCCCTCTATGTAGAATGGGTTCCCAAAGTCCATTCATGTACTAGGGATATATACTGATCCACTACCAGAGGCCCCATAGATTAACCAGACCTACAAACTGACATCCACGTTCAGGGGGTCTGGAACAGTCCTATGCTAGTTTCCCAGCTATTAGTCTGGGGGTCCATGAGGTCCACCTTGTTCAGGTCAGCTGTTTCTGTGGGTTGGGTCAGTCCTATGCTGGTTTCCCAGCTACCAGTCTGGGGTCCATGAGCTCCCCTTTGTTCAGGTCAGCTGTTTCTGTGGGTTTCTCCAGCCTGACCTTGACCCCTTTGCTCAGCACTCCTCCCTCTTTGCAACTGGATTCCAGAATTCAGCTCAGTGTTTGGCTGTGGGTGTCTGCCTCTGCTTCCATCAGCTACTGGATGAAGGCTCTAGGATGGCATAAAGGTAGTCATCAATCTCATTATCAGAGAAAGGCATTTATGGTAGCCTCTCCACTATTGCTTAGATTGTTAGTTGGGGTCAACCTTATAGCTCTCTGGACATTTCCCTAGTGCCAGAATTCTCTTTAAACCTGTAACGGCTCCCTCTATTATGGTATCTCTTTTCTTGCTTTCCTCTATTCTTCCCCTGACTCAATCTTCAAGCTCTCTCCTGTTCTCTCCCCACCTCTTTGCCCCTTCTCTTCCTTCTAACTCCCTCTCCCCTCCCCCCATGCTCTCAATTAAGCTCAGGAGATCTTGTCCTTTTCCCCTTCTCCAGGGGATCATGTATGTCTCTCTTAGGGTCCTCCTTGTTTCCTAGCTTCTCTGGAAGTATGGATTGTAGGCTAGTAATCCTTTGCTCTATTTCTAAAATTCATATATGAGTGAGTACATGCCACATTTGTCTTTTTGTGACTGGGTTACCTCACTCAGGATGGTTTCTTCGAGTTCCATCCATTTGCCTGCAATTCCATTGTTTTTTTCCTGCTGAGTAGTACTCCATTGTGTAAATGTACCACATTCTCTCCATCCATTCTTCAGTTGA